AGGATTGAGAAGTTGGAGCGGACTACGCGGCGTGCGAGCTGTGGCCAGATCGGGCACTGGCACGGCGACCCCTCGCGCCCGAAGTTTACCATGGCGGCGCCGCCGCCATCGGACCGTCCCAAGTCGAGCTACTTTAGCTTCAGCGACTTCGAGGGCGAGAAGGTCAGCGGCGGCGACGTCGGGGTCGCCGAGGTGTTCGTGGTTGGAGCGTCCTCGACTTCGGGAGAAGTCAGCTCCGGGCTCGGAGCCTGGGCGAAGGCTAGGCGGCGACGAGACGCTCTTGGCCAGCGCTGACGACGGCGGCGGGGCGGCTGGACTGCCGCGACGGCGCGGGCGTTCCCTGCCCGTCGTGGGCCACCCCTGCGAGCGCGCGCAGAGGGCGGGCGTCTGGCTGTTCAAGGGCGCGAACGGGGCCCACCAGTACTTGGCGCGCCATGAGTGTCTGTCGCTCCAGCTCGGCATTCACGTGGTCCGGGCGCGCCGTGCCGACGGGGGGCAGCTTTGGAGGTACTTCGTGGCGTCGCTGCTGTTCGCCCCGAAGGGCAGGGCCATCTTCCCGACGGAGGCCCAGGTGCGTGGGGGGGCAAGGTCGCCCGACAGGGTCTACAGGGCCGCGAAGAACCCGCCGAAGGTGAGGCGCGCGGCGGTGGAGATGATGGCCAAGAAGGCACGCGAGGTGAAGGTGCCATCCGACGACGAGGAGCTGGGCGAGATACCGACCTCCGAGGAGTGCCCGCACGAGGAGGACAGTCGCGAGGAGCACGTTCGCGTCGTGCCCGGCGGACTTCGACCAGGACGTCAAGGGCTTGGACACGGAGTGCGCCCCCCTCGGCGGCGAGAAGATCAAGGTCGACAAGTGCAGAGGGTGCGCGTTCGCGGAGGTCGTGGACGGCGGGCCTGGGCCCGAGCCTGCGGACACTCTTATCGAGGCGGCGATGGCAGGCGACGCGTCCAAGCTCAGTGTCGATCAATGCCGCTTGGCGTGGTTCCTGATTTACTTCGTGGCGATGGGCGAGCGGCCCCCCCCGCCGCAGGAAGAGGACGGGAGCTTCCAGGTCCTCATGGTCGGCCCCGCGGAAGGGTCAACGAGGCGTTCAGCTCGGCTTCCTGGGGCGCACCTGGGATCGCGGTGCTCGACGCGGCTGGCCAGATGACCGTGCGTGGCGCGCCCTGGAGGATCAAGTACGAGGAGGCGTTGCGGGCCAGGTCCCTCGAGCCGATCCCGAGGTCACGCGAGACCGAGTTCAGGGGGGTCGGCGGAGACGCGTGCAGTGACGCAGTGTGTTGGATGCCAGCCGGCATCGCCAACAGCGCGTTCGCGATCGCGTCCGCGGTGCTCGACCAGGGTGCGCCCATGCTGATCTCCGAGGACGCGCAGTCCAAGCTCGGGACTGTCGTTGACGTGGCGACCGACGTCGCCACCTTCAACGCCATCGGTGCACGCGACGTGCCGCTGGTCCGGGCGAGCGGTGGCCGCCTGGGGGTCACTTTGTTTGACTTCCCAGATCCCGAGGTGCTCGACCCGGGTGTCCAGGTTTGCTTCGAGCAGGGCTGGTTTACTCAGGGTGGGGTCGACGCGGGCGTCGTCGACGCGGCGGAGGTCGTCGGCGGGCGCGCCAGCGAGGTCAGCACCAAGGCGGAGATCGAGGAGGTCTTCAAGGACCCCAGGATGATCGACTGGAGCGACGACCCGTCCCTGCGGATGGCAAGCTCTAGGAGGACGAAGAAGCTTCGGGCGATGCGCGAGGACCTTAAGACCATCGAGATGCGGACCTATGGCGCGATGATCGGCGCGGCCGCCCGTGCCATGCGACTCCCCGGGTTATGACGCTAGTCAAGCAGTTGTTCTGCGGCCAGTTCGGCGTCGCCATGCTCGCGGCCCTCAGTTTCGGGCGCGACTGCGGGCGACGCTGGACCTCGAGAGCGGCTGGGGCGGCGCCGCGCGCAAGGGCAGGCAGGAGGCGAGGCGCCAACTCTTGGGCGAGGACCCCTACTTGACGATCATCACCGTGCCCTGCGGCCCATGGGGCGACTGGGGAGGTGCAATATCTCCGAGGGGGGCGCGGCAGCTGCGACGGTCTTCGAGGCGCGGGAGGCTGCGAGACACACTGCTCGCCCTGTCTGATTCAGTCGTGGTGGATCGAGCTGGGCGCGGCCGACGCGTCCTACTGGGGCAGCCACTCGGATCGATCGTGTACGACCAGCCCGAGATGAAGAAGACCAAGAAGCAAATCGAGGATGGCGCCCCGGCGGAGTGCACCCCGCACGGCGGCCAGCTCGGTTGCGTGGGCGAAGTTGCGGGCGACCCGCGCTACGAACATACGGGGGTCCTAGCCGCGTCGGTCGCCATCTACGAGGCTCTGTGCAACGCGAAGTGCGACCGTGCCCGCGGGCGCGCGCCGCTCGAGAACGAGAGGGGGACCAGGGCCGCAGCCAGGTGGCCCGACGAGCTGGGTCGTGCCATCCTCTCGGCCATCGGGCAGCAGATTGACTCGGAGGGTGACGAGCAAGTCGGCGCCAACGTGATGGGAGTGTTTCTCGGTGGAGGAGCCGACGGTTAAGAAGAGGAGGCTTCGCGGCAAGCAGCCGAAGTGTAAGGGGGCGGGAGAACAGCGACCTGAGGCGGATCCTTCGGCTGAGGACGGGCCTCAGGACACGGGCGGGCGTCGGCCTGAACGTGGAGCTCCGCGAGTCCCTGAGGGCCCCGCGGGAGTGCGCGCTGAAGCTGCCGCGGGACTGGAGCCCATGCTATCGCAGGAGGAGAGAGAGAGAGAGAGAGAGAGAGAGATAACAAAAAACAAAACAACAAAAAAGAGGGAGGCGCGCGCGGTGGCTCTTCTTCGACCCCTGCGTTAGGCGAGATATTCGCAACCTGCGTGTGAACCTCGGCCGCTCTGCGAACGTGACATTGGCGCGGTGCCCGCGCCGCTCGGGGGCCAGAGGGAGTTCATCGAGGCCGCGTGGGATTTCAGATGCGACGCTTGCGGCGACACGATCAGGGCGAAGCACGTCCGCCCGGTGGGAATGCCGGGCCGCTGTTCGCCCGCGACGCCGAAGGCAATGCCCTTGCGTTCCTGACCATCATGTGCGACGGCACGCGGTTCCAGGTGGTCTGGTACCTGCGCGAGGGTACCTTCGCGCCTTCGGCCAATGTCGCGCTGGGCGCGTTCCTCGCCGTCTGGGCCAGCTGGGCCGGACTGCCGCGGTCCATGTTCGTGGACCGCGGCGTGGAGTTCGCCGAGGAGTTCCTTGCCCGCATGTTCGAGCACGGGGTCGAGGCAGAGAGTGCGGCGCTGGGGCCTCGCCAGCAGATGGGCCGCGTCGAGCGGATGGGGGGCGTCTGGGATGAGGCCCTCCATCGAGTGGTGCAGGGCGCCCAGATCACGAAGGACAAGGCCCTGAGGACCGTGCGCGCGGTGGTCAACCAAATTCGCAGCGAGTCGGTGATCTGCGACGGCTATTCGCCAGCGAACTCGGTGCTCGGAACTCGCGGACTACGTATTCTGGGATCCGTCCTACAGAATGGCGAGTCGGAGAAGCTGAACGTCCGCGCGGCCGCGCTTGACCCAGAGTCCGCAATGGGAGCCGCGCTGCCGCGGCGTGAGTCCGCCAAGGTCGCCTTCGCGAAGATGGACAACGACAACCGCGTGAGGGGAGCGAAGCTGGCGAGATCGACGCCTGCGAGGTGGCCATGCCCGGTGGGGTCGTGCGCGTGCTTCAGACGCACGCATGTCCGACCGGGGGGGTCACCTGCATTATTCCATCGGTGGTTCGGCATTGCTCGCGCGATCGGCCGCGACTTCCAGGGCCCCGACAAGACGGCGGACGGGATTGAGGCAACCCTGCGGCCAGCAGCCGTTCCCCCCCCCCCCCCGCGGGGGCAGACGCCGCCGCTTTCGACTTCGACTTGTGCGAAGCGCCTGGCCTTGGCGGGGGCGTCTGGGAGGGGTGTCCGCTGTTCCCTTCCCGCGAGGGTGTGCTCGGCAGGTGGCCCGCCGCCCTGCGAAGCTGGTGCCCGCGATGCCAGCGCGGCCTGCTGCGCTGCTGGGCCCGCAGGTGCCGTTCGGGCCCTGCGCCCTCGGTGGCGCCGTCCCCGCCCTTCTGGAGGCGGCGATTGCCCTGCTGGCATGCAGGGCCCGGCGAGCCCCTCCCCCTCGGGCCCCCCAGGGCCATCGTGTAACTTTTTGGCGGTCTGCGCCCTGTGTGCCGAAGCGCGCGGGGTTCGGGGGCTGGGGGCGCGGTGGCCCTTCCGTCGGGGGGGGGGGGTGCCGCTTCAGGGAGGGGGGCTGCGGGGCCTGCCCCGTCTTCGGGCCGCGCCGGGCCCCCCCCCCACGCGCGGGTTGAAATCCAGTCTCCGCCTCTGCCGAAGGTGCTCGGGCAGTGCGGGGGCTGGGGGGGGGCGAGCGCGGGAGGCTGGCTCCCTCCGGCTTCAGGGGCTTCGCTCGGCTGGCTCTCGGGCGTCGTTGGTCGCGCGTCGTTCTGTCGCCGCCGTCCGTCTCGCCGTCGGGGGCCCTCGGGGGCGCCCTGCCGTCGGGGTGTCCGCCGTGTCGCTGCCTGTCGTCGTCGTCTGCCGCGGCCCCGGCGGGCCGCCGCGGGGCCGCCGCGCCGGCCTCCGTCGTCTTCGTCGGTGCGTGCCGCGTGTCTGGTCGTGTCTTTCTCGTGTCCTGGTGTCGGGTCGTCGTCGTGTCGCATCTTGTCGCGCTGTCGCTCTCGCCCCCCGTTGGCTGTCGCGTTCGCTTCTTCCGTCCGGGTCCCGCTGCTTCCACGCTCTCCCTCTCCCCCTTTTTGTTTGCCCCCTCGTCTCCGTTGGTCGTTGGTTCTCGCTCTTCCTTCCCGCCGGCTTGCCCCTCCTCTCTCGTTCCTGCTTCGCTCCTGCTTCGCCCCGCTTCGCTCTCTCTCTGCCTTCCCGGGTTCGCTCCCCCGCGCCCGTGGGCCGGGCGCTCCCGTCCGTGCCGCCGCGCGCCGCTCTGCTGCGCCGGCGTCTTAGGCGTTGCGCGCCC